TGAGATATATAGGATGAAGACACAATTATTGCACAGGGGCTATATTGCGCCAAACAACATGAGAAAGGAAAAGCAACCCACAGCGGGATTTACACAAGACACCGTGCCTTTGTGGAGGTACTCTGTCTTGTTACTATGGGCTTAGGGTTAACTTGCTCTGAAGGAAAGAAGAAATGGAAAAGATCATGCTTTTCATTGGGGTGCTAGATGGCACTTTGTTTTCCAGGGGAATGCGGGATGATCCACGAGTTAGGGCTTTGAAGAGAGATTACAACCTTTGTTTAAGTAGAGGCTCGTTCTCTGGGCCCCCCGCATGTAAATTCTCTACAACTCAAGACGGGTTGCACGTGTCCAAGCTACGTTGGACCAACTGCCCTCCCAAAGAAAGAGAAACGCTCTCTTCACAAGCAACCAGTCGTGTGGCACTCTCAACTTCATGCAATAAAGCAAGTCTCCTGGTCAGGGTAGCAAACCTGGACTCTCCCCCAGCCACGAGAGAGCAGTCACCTTGTTGTGCTCAGCCTGTGCCCGCACGGTCTCTGTTTTGGTAGGCGAGGTGGACGCTTCCAGCTCGGACAGGGTCCGTTCCTTTGACTCCAGCCACTTCAGCATGGAGCTTGCTTCCTCTTGGACTTCCCGCATCTTCTCCCGCATGGCTGACAGCTGCTCTTGACGTCCCCGCAACGCCATGCCAAGGCCCTCATACTGCTGGTTCACATCTGACATGTCGCACTGGATCTCAGTTAAATCTGATTAGAAAGAAACAAGCCGGCGACGGAGGGTTACCTTGGACACCACTCTTGGCTAGACTGCTTGTACTCATACAGCTCTGGGCAACCAGTCTACTGAGCACTGGGGGCTGCAAACTATGTTCTCCCCATCTGCCCCGGCTGTCAGGTTCCCACTACCTGTCACGTTGGTGAGCCTCTTTCTGTTGTCTCACTTATGCAGACTGACAGTTTGCAAACAAAATGAATAGGAAGGGATTAATCAGCTTGATCCATCTCCTTGCACCCTCTCCGAGTCCGGAATATCAAGCCGTTTTAATACAGGTGTGACTCCTTGGACCAGTGAACTAACAGCAGGTAACGGGTGATAATTAAAATCACACTTCCTGCCGTTGTATGTGCTGTCACAACCCTCAGAGCCAATCCCTTGAACAGCGGTTCTTATAAACGCCTCCCGTTTATCAGCTCTCCTCACACCCTTGGAAAAGTTGCCACTTCCAGAGGCTGGCTTCTCCTCCTCCCCATTTCTGTCCTGCAGCCTGACCTACATCCCCAAACCCAACCCCTAGTGTGATTCTGGTCACCACCCATCACTCCAGAAAATTAGGCAAGTTATTTGCAGGCTCATTTCACTTGCTACGGTATTGTGGCCATGTCACGCTATGGGCTCTCTCGCTCGTGAACACTACATATACCGCCACTGTCACATACAGATGGACACAGAGACGGACAACACTGATGCTGCCTTGACCACACACATGCACACGCGCACGCTGGCACTGCGGAAGGTGGAGGTCTCACCTTTGCAAGTGTGGTATCCGTTCACACTGCCTACAGACCCTCCTACAGCGGGCAGCCCAGAACCTGAGCAAGGGACGGGGAGACAGACGAGAAAAAGGACAAGACAAACAAGTTAGGGATACGGACACGTTAGCAATGAGCTTGTGCACCTGGCGCCGGCCTGACCCTTTTTCAGGCCGTCTGCTGCCGACACCGGACACCCTGCAAGCAAAATGCGACCCTGGGCATGACCAGGTCAACACAGCACGAGACAACATAGCTCTCCACAAGATGGACCGTGTCAGCCATCAAGCAGAAGCAAGGGGCATATTTCTTTCATACTCCTTCGTTCACGGGTTCTCCCCACAGCCTCTCTTTGAGGACTCTGCCCCGGGAATTCGCCTCTCCTCACATCCCAGTGCCTACATGTCATGTCCAACTTTCCTTGCTCTACGCCTCTTTTGCTTTCCTGAATCCCTTCTGATTTCCAGTGGAGCAGCTGAAAGATTAAGTAGTTGTGACCCCTCGCACTCAAGGCTTCCCCGCTCCTCAATTCCCTCCAGTGCCTCCTACAGAGTTTAGAAGTGGAGCAGCTTTGGCGCGCCACAGAGGAAGGGCTCCTAGGCCTCTTCCAGCAGTTGACTCCTAATGGGGTCAGAGGACGCATCGGCTTGCCTGTAGTCACTGAGCCGGGGACTGCCAGATATTTGCATTCTGTGGAAGCACTTGCAAAAACCCAAGGGAAAGCAATCGTCCGTGGGAATAATATTTAGAATTGGATATTGCAAGAGTCCCAAGACCTTTCTTGGAGATATTACCTACCCTACACTCCTTTCTTGGAGAAGGAGGCTGTTCAAAGAGACCTTAGGAAACCTATACCTCTTTTCTGCGTGACTTTTTCATAGTGTTTAAGCCCAGAAGGGAGCCCTGTGTCGCCGGATCTGACTTCCTATCTAGCAGTGGCCACAAAGTTTCATCCAGGTACCCGTATATAAAGCCCAAGCCTTCAGACAAACTGAACCTCCGTGGCTCCAGGCAGGAGAGAGAGCACTGCCCTGGGACCCAAGTCCTCACCCTCTAAACACCTGGCAGCGAGACTCAGGTATTTGGTATTCACACCCTTGTTGGCTTCTCAACTTTCCCTTTGTGAAGGGCCTTGAAGCTACTTTCTGTCTGATGAAAATGTACGTGAAACATCTAAAGTACGACAAACGCTCGCAGAGCACAGAGAAACAACAGTGCCGCACATTAGTTCCCACCAAAGCCTGCTGCAGGAGCTCCAGGGCAGCAGGGTACACGCTCACCTGTCTTTGCCTGGGCATCGGGGGCTGTAATCTCGACGATCAAGTTCTCCAAGGCCATTCCTTTGCGATTGATTTCCTCCACCTGGGCGCTCTTCCCTGCCCATTCTTCCAGAAGAGCCTAGTTGGGGAACAGAACCAGGTACCCGCACGCTGACCTCGCCATACGTGATCTCAATGCCGGACGGCAGAGAGGCAAACAAAAAAATAAGTCTTGCTGCTGCTTATACTCAAACACTTTCTGGAACAGAGAACTGCAGGCTGGTGACTTGACAACTACCCTGGACACACTCCTGAAGGACATGTGTAGGATTCACTCAGCTATGTAATTCCTAGTGACTCACTAACTCCCAGGGAATAAACCAAATTGTTGTCAATCAGTGAAGCTACATGAATCCACTATATTAGAAGCAGGTTTCTTTACTTGTATCTAGTCAAGAGAAAAAGTGTTATCTTATGGCTTGGCTAATGACTGCTTCCATCACAGGGTACCTCTCTTTTCAAACACCGGTTTGAAAGAGTCCTCCATCCTACCCCGCACACAACCCCAGGCGTCTTGTGGCTGCAGCACATCACAGGGTTCACAGAGAGAGACTTTCATCAATCTGCAGCTCAGAGATCTGCTCCAAAGGCAGATCCAGGTGAGTGAACAGGACACCACACTCTCTCTGAATCACACCTATTGACGCATCTTGATTTAAGGTGTCACTTAGCTGAGAAAAGGATGAGGATGGAAATGCTGGGGTTCCAGCTGTGTCACCTGGCAGACAAACCTTCCCAAGAGAGGATGGATTTGGGGGCATTAGAAACAGAGCAGCACTTGGGGCAGGTTGCACCCCCTTTTCCTCCACCACCTGCTCAAAGCAGGGGGCTTTAGGCTTTCTTAAAGTAATAATATAACATACGATACTATAAATAAAGCCTCTGCATCCATTTCACCACGTGTTTAAGGATAAAAGATGCACGTGTCAGCATAGGCGATGCAATACAGCTGACGGTCCCGTGCAAAGAGGAACCATCAGTGATTCTCTTTTCTCAGCAAGTGAAGGCCCAGTGAGCTGAAACCACTGCAGAAGCTGACACTGCTCCACCTTGAATGTATGGAAGTCATAACTGGATTATAGTTAAAGCATAAAAACCTCCCAGGACACAGCATCCTGCAGGTTATTACACACTTCTTTGGTTTCCTACTTTCACACTAGCTCCGCAGAGCAGGAGAGGTCCCCTCTGCCCACCTGGATCTGCTGCATGCGCTTGTCCAGCTCCTGGGTGCCCAGGGAGGTCTCTGCCGATGGCACATTCCCTTCACGGTCTTTCAGCCACTTCCTCACCACGCCAACCAACTTTCGGAATTCATCCAATTGCTCCTGGCAGGATGACGCATCCTTTTCTCTGAGAGTGAAAAGGTTTCGAGAGTGAGCTGCTCGTGCTTTGCCTTGCAATTACCATCGCTTGAATATAGGACGCTTTTCTCTACTTTTTCCTTTTTTTTGTGTGTTACTGTCACTTAGCAACGGTGCTTACCATACCAACCAGAGCTATGGCCATAGCTGCAACACACCCCTTTTCCTGCTAAACCATGCTCAGCGCTTGACCTTGGGTCCATGTGTTCAGTGTCATCCTGCCCTGGGAGACCCCTGACTCACACCGTGGGTACAGTACAGGTGAGCAGCTGTCAAAGTGATCTGCAGAGAGCTGGCAGGTCACAAGGTGGATGCGTCACATCCTGTCTTCTAGTTACTGCAACAAGGGCTTGGGCTTATCGTTGGAAAGGGAAGTCAGGACGGTTGTGAACAGAGCTGAATAGTAAATACCCAAGGAACAGATACCAACAGAAGAGTCACAAGCACTGAAAGTGCTCCTACTCCTCCACAGCAACTGCCACGTGGCCCCCACCGGGATACCACAGGACCGCGAACAGACGGACCAAATCCATGCAGCAAAAGATGAAGCATGTGATCCGACACCTTGCCCATCCATGACTCCACAAAGGGCAAAGGCTTAAAGGTCTATGAGCAAAGGAGAAGTCAAAATATGGGGAAGGTGTAGTTTATTCCTATGGCCCTGGAGCTTCTGCCTGCCCCTTGGGGGATACCAGGCCTCCCTGCCCCAGCACAGCTTACTCACTGAGCCTACTGAGATCAAGCTCTGCAGACCCAGGCTCTCTCCTTGCCGCCCCACTCCACAGCCACATGGAGGGACTGCTGATGCAGGTGGCTTCATCAGTGGCATTTTGTAGTGGATGCATGGATGCAGCTCAGTAACTTGTGTGTACCATGGGGAGTTTTTTTGTCTCCTCCCCTTCCCACTGCAATCGCTGCAGAGTGCGGAGGCGGTGCATTCACACTTGGGAACACGGCTGAATTCCCTGGGCACTGCTGTCGGGCACCACCAAGATAAAATGGCCCTTGCAAAGGCCTCTCAGATTGCTCAGCAGCTTTTCTTCCCCATCATACTGCATTCAATCCTGAGTCAAGCCCCGCGGGTCTCCCTCCCCAATTTTTAAAGCAGCCTGATGTTTGCTGGCACCCCCTGCCCTTGTTGCAAACCCTCCCATGCCAAACAAAGGCTGGAGGGACCAGCAGATGCTCCTAACGATCCGTTCCCCACGAGGAGCTCGGCAGGGTTGATTTGCTGCAGCCTGTGTTCCCTAGGAAATCACGTGGCTGCTCCTCTTACAGCGCAGGCATGTTCACAACACCCCCAGCCATGCTTATTTTAAATGTCAGCCTGAGGTGACTGTGTGATGCCTGCTGGTGTAGGAGGGAAGCAGAGGCAGAAGTTAACTTATGGCCCTTGCAGGAGGGAAACGTCAGCAAGTTCTTGCAGTCGCTACGTAACTTCCTACCAGCAGCAGAAGGCGCGACCTCCCTAGTCCTGACCCCAACAAGCTGGAACAGGGCATCTCAGGCCTTACCTTTCCTTTGCTACCTTCTGGAGCTGTGTGAAATCCCTCTTTAGGCTCTGCACCGTCTCCTGCATCTGGGAAGAGCCGGCTGGGAAGCCCTGGGAGTTCAGCTCTGCAGCCAGGTGCTCCAAGGTATCCAGGTCCTCTTGGTGCTGCTTCATCTCTACATTCAGCTCCTGTGGAGACAAGCACCAGAAGGAATGAAGCTCCCGCCACTGGGCTCATTCAAACAGGTGGAAAGGACAGGGCCAGACAGCTCTGGATCCTGGCAAGGGCATCGGGTGCCCTCTTCAGGGCAATGGGACGATTACACCAGCGCTGAGTGAATGAGCAAAGCCCCGGGGTAGGTCGACATCTGTCCCTTCCGCACATCAGAGCGATCTATGGGACGGTTACGGGAAGAGGGCAGTGCAGATACTGCCCCCAGCTAATAGGACACATGGGGACTTCAGGGAGCCTTGATGATTCTGTCCTAAAATCAGTGCCCCCAGGGGGCGATTCCCTTTATTGACACTTTAGTGTTTTGGGCTGTACTGATGGATGAGATCTTTAACCAGAGAGATCTCACCCTATGTGGGCTTGGCTTGATCAAGCTAGTCAGAGTCGCTCCATTAGCTCCCCACCCTAACCCACAGCCAGGAGGACTGGACCGAGCTATGCTTCAGACCAAATCAAAGAATCGAAGGCCCCTTTCCCTTCTTCCCATAGCTGGGTAAAAAGCTGTTTTAAACCCCATAGACCTCAGAAGTCAGGGATGAAGGCAGGGGGAGACCCAAAACTCAACACTTTGGAGACCCCCTCCCACCCCGCTCTGTAACAGGAACCTTCCTCCCTGGCTTAGGCAAAGACCTTGCATCTCACCTGGATGTGCTGGGAGAAGTGAGCAATGTCGTGGTCTGGCTGGTTCCCAGAAGCCAGCAGCCGGGCTCTGCTCTCCGTGAACTGCTGCAGCTTCTCAGAGAGCTGCTCGTACTGCTCCACCTTGGGGAGAAGGTCCTTCAGCGCATTCTCCTTCTCCTGCTGCTGCCGGCACAGCCTGTTGAAATGCTCTGTCACCTCTGCCAACTTGCCCTGCAGGGCAGAGGCTGTGGCACTGTCTGCTGTCTCCATGAACCGAGTCACCATTTCTCGAGTGGCTTCAAGGCTGCTCTTCTGCCTAGCAATGTCTTGCTTCAACTTCTGCTTTGAAAGACACACACAGAGAAGACGGCATTTCAGGAGGGCTCTGAGCAAGCCCAGCTGGCATTGATGGGATGGGATGGGATTGCCTCTCAGAGCAAGTCTGAAAACCTCCAGTGACCCTTCCGGCTAGCCAGCCACATTCTCAAGGCTAGTTTTCTTCCCCGGTGCACTCTCCGCATTTCTCTCTCTATCTTACACTACTATAAGCTTATCTTCACCCACTCCCTCTGCACAGCCTCCATTACCTCCCCTTGAGCTTGCTCATGAGTTGAGGAGGTGAGATGTTTCAAGGGATCTGTTTTTCCCTGTTCAATGAAGTCACTGAAGAGGTTTAACATATTTAACGCAACTTCAGCATAATACAGTTAAAGCACAGACCATGACAAGAGGTCTGCGCAATTCAGAGACTGGAGACACAGCCTGGACTTCCTACTAAGCGTAGGGCTGTAGCCAAGGCAGAGAAGCAACCGTCTCACCGCATTCGTGGCAAGTGACTCCTGGATGGAGAGGGATGAGAGAGAAGCTGGCTGCTCCGCTCCCATGTTCCTCTCGATCTCAGCCATGGACTGCAGCATATTGTCCAGCCCCTCCTGGACACTCTGGGACTGGGCGATGGCCTTCTGCAGCAGGTCTGCACGCTCCGCCATCTGCTGGGAAAGGCGCTGGAAGTGGCTCACAATGGACTCTGGAGAATTCAACACGAGAGAAAGTCACTGTCAAGTAGGGATCTAGGACCATCATCAGGGGCACCTGCCAATGCTGGTAACTAGCCACATCCCCCGGAGCGGCTACAGCTATGAAGACTCACTGCCTAACTGGTTAGCAAGGGGACACACACGCCTGGCAAACAAGAGAAATGGGGACCACTGGAAATGGCCACGACTCGAGGGCCAGGAGATCCAGCATCTGCTAGGAGCCAGTATAAGATGCTTCAAGGGAAGATGAAAAACCCAGCAGTGAGCAGGACTGATGACTTCCCCCTCACACACGAGGAGTTAAGATGCTTAGGCAGAAGGTTGCTGGGAACACAGTGGCTCACTAGGGCTACTGTTACACAAGGTCATCGTGTGGGGGTCTGTTAGGTCATTTCCTGGCTGAGAAGACCAGAGTCTCCTCTTTTGTCTTCACCTTTGCACCCCTCCTGCATCGTTCTTCCCCCACACAGAAGTATAAACCCCCTAAAGGAAACAAGCAGTGCTGTGTGGCCAGTTGCTGGCTCAGTGCTGGGAGGTTCTCTCTCCGCCTGGTTAACCACACTAGTGACACACAGGTGTGCGCACACAGGTGCTGAAAATAAGCAGACATCTCTGGAGCCACTCTCCTGTCCTCCGTCCCCCTGTATGTCTGACCTGAAGAAGTTACCCTCTAGTGTGTCCACACCTTCCCCTCATCCCCACGCAGACCGAGATAGCCGCACTGCTTAGTACCTGTGGTTTCCTGAACACGCTTGTGGTCAGGAGCCGGCTCGCCTTTGATTTCCAGCAAGGAACGGGATGCTTTCTGCAGCTTCTCCACTGGCACTTGATGTTCGGCAAGATCTCCCTGAAGGTGCTGCTCCAAAACAAGATGAGACCATTCAGGTCAGCTATAACATCCACCAAGGAGTGACCCCCGGCCAACCCCACGCCCAACTCAACCGCCCCCAAGGGCACCCACATGACTGGAACTCCACGGAGTTTAGAGTTAGATGTCAAGCAAGCAGAGGTTTGCCTCCCCTCCAACCGATAACCCCGAGCAGGGACGTGCCCTGAGAGGGGAGCATTCAGGGTATCTGAGGGTCGCTTACTCTCGCGCTGGCAAGCTGCTTCTGCAGAACCGCTGGGTCTGAGGAGACCGGCTCTGAGAGAAGTTTCGCCACCGCCGCATCGCTGTCCCGCAGCCAGGTCCGGAGAGCCTCTGCCACCTCCTGGAACTGCTGGTAGTGGTCCAGCAAGGTGTTCAGATGCGAGCCGAGCTTGGTGCACTGCCAGGAGAAACACGGGGCAAGGATGTGAAACAGGTGCAAAAGCGCTTTGGAAACCACTGCCCTTTCTCACCCCTTCCCTTGAAGAAAGCAGAGATCTCACTAGGGAAAGCCCCAGCCTCACCCAGTTGAGGGAAGACTCACATGTGGCTACATAGAGACCGTTACTGGCAAGTGTAGTGATTATTATTGCTTCAGCATTGATGCTGGACTTGTGGCCACGTAGGACCTAGAAGACGGCACAGTCCACACTTGTGGAGCTCAGCCCGTCAGGCTGCGTGAATAGGACAGGGATTAGTGCTCTTAAGGTGATCAAGGAACACTTAACAGGGCTGAGCTGACGGGTCTGTTCCCCAGCCCATGCCGAGCCAGAGCCTGCAGCACCACAAGCTGGTGTTGCACAAGGGATTAAGGTGGGTACGTGTTCCCATGAACGAAGCTACCGATACCTTGGTGTGGAGAGTCGTGTATCTCTGCGTGGCATCATCCAGCTTGCTTTTGACCAAGCCCCCCGTTCCTAAGGGCTTGGGCCCTCCCTCGGCAGCAGCTGCCCTCTCAGCATCCAGCACCTTCTGCCCAGACATGGTGACAAACCGCAGATCCCCTTTGTGCGAGATGACGTCCTCCGAGAAGCTCCCCTGCCTGAGCAGCATCGGCCTGAGCGCCTGGGGGTCGCTGTCCCCATGGTGCATCCTCTCCAGCTCCTGCTCAGCCTGCGCCAGCCAGGCCTCGAACTCCCCGTGGTCCCGCAGGAACTTCTGCAGCTCATCCCGCAGCACCTGCACTTGCTTCAGCTGCAGCTCCGACTGCGAGAGGGAAGCAGCGTACTGCTCCTTCAACTCCTCCAGCCTGCCCTGGAGCCGGTCTCTCTCCTCTGGCTTTAAGTTGTGGCCCTGTTTGTCCAGGAAGGCCTGCGCTGACTGGGTTGCTAGGATGACATCCTGCTGCTGAGACAGCAGCTCCTGGTGGCGTGTCTGAAACACACATGTTAACACACACACATTAACACACACACACAATGCCTTGTTACTGATATACTCCCTGCTGGCAAACAGCTAACCATTCCCCTGTACCTTGCCAAAGACATTATCTCATTACACTAAATGCAAAGTACCCCACCTCATTACACCACCGATACCATATTTTATCACATACAACATGCGTCTTTTAAAAAAAAACAACCAAAAAACAGGTGCTGGAAATTGCAGTGTGCATTATATGCAAGGAAATACGGTAAGAGCGGTTTCTGCCGCTCACCAAACAGAAGCCAAGGTAAATTCTGCACACGTTACAGGGAGCAGAAGAAGGACCAGACTCAGCTGCTGCTACTCACTTACTACAAGGAAAGATCTTGCTTTTTCTTCATGGTGCCATTGAAAAACAAAGTGCCTATTTTATTCTGGGGTGCGCTGCACGTGATAAATATGGTTGCATCTTTGTTTCTCTCTGCCTAGCAGACAAGTTGGTTCCCAAGAATGCCAGAGGCTCCTGTTTGAGACGCCAAAGAGTCACCGGCACAAAGCAAATGCATGCAGACGTTCAACACCAACCCCCACCGTTGCCATGGTGTGGTGGTCGGGTCACAGCACTGGGCAGCACTAGCATTATTAATGGCAGGGCAGGTGCTAATCTGGAAGAGGACATGGGGTCACCCTCACCTTCAGCCTGTCGTACTGCTGCTCGAGGGTCTCTGCAGCTCTGTTCACATCCACCAAGTGACCATCGGGAAGATCCCGGGTGCTTTTCCCCACTTGTTTTCCTGGCGTTTGTCCCAGAGAGGGGTGTTTCTGCTCGGAGAGCCCTCCAGCCTGTTCTAGCGATGCTACCCAATTTAGAAGCGACTCAATCTTGCTCCTGCTCTCCTCCAGTTCCTTGGCAGCTTTCACCTGGGAATAGCATAACTCATACGTAAGCTGAGGACAACTCTGACTTTGTATAAGCTGCTGTCTCGGCAAAGGGCAAGAGAATCAGTCCTGTACGGGGGGCGGCGTTCCTCCTCCCCAGTCCACCGCTCTGCCCAAGACTCAAAGAACTTCAAAATGTCCCCAGTGTCCTTTCACCACATAAAAATCCCCACATGCATCTGTAAATAGGCACATCCATGCAACCAAATTCATTCTGCAATTCTCACCCCCATACAAGAGAGTTCATGCTTTTAATTGGCTAAGGCGGCCCCCCTCAAGCCAGATACAGAAAGTGGGTGTGTGGGCGGCTCCAAGCATGTTCTTTTTACTTCTGTCCCATCAAAGTACAGGAGTGTCAGGGCTTATGGGACGGCACCGAGATATCTCTGAGTTATCAGATGCACCAGCTTACTCTGAAGGCTGCACTAGAAGTGCAACCAATTACTCAAATCAGAGCAGAGCTCCTTTCCTTCATCCCAGGCCTTCCTTTCCACCACCAGCACCCAACACTTAGAGAGGTGGGGTGGAGAGATGCTTTATAATATGTGGAGGGAAACTGAGGCACACGGTGGGACGTGACTTGTGCTGCGGAGCAGTAGCAGAGTCAAGACTAGAGCACAGGGCATGCCTGAGTCCCAGGCCAAGTCGCTGTCTTTCTGTAAAAGCGCCTGCCCCACGACAGCCCCAGATGTGTTACCTTCTCGGTCTCCTGCTGCACAGCTGCTGTCACAGCACTCTCCAGCTCCTTCTGGGCCACCTCAGTCCTCTCCTGCAGAGACTGGTATTGCTTCTTTGCGTGATGGAGCCTCTCTTGCAAGGCTGCCAGCTCCTCAGGGTTCATCTTAGTCCTGTTCTCCTCTAAAAATTCTTCTGTTGCTTTCAGGACACTGGCAAAAGAGGCAGCTCGAGTCTGCATGTCCCTCTGCAGGGCCTGGGAACACCACAAAAAGACAGACAAAGCCTTTAGGCGCCCACTGAGCAGCTCCTCGATTCCCTCCCCTGCCTTTGTCTTCCAGCACTGACCTTAATGTCACTTTGTCTCTGCTTCAGTGTGGGCAGGTCCCCTTTGCTGGCTGCTCTCTGCTCATCTGCTAGCGTGGTCTCAGCCTGCCCTAGCCAGGTGCAGACCTCCTCCAGCTTCTGGCTGCGCATGGCTTGCTGCTCTTGGAGCGTCTGGTTTGAAAGGGAAAGGGAAAGGGAAAGGAAGCAGTTCAGACCTGTGGCTTGGCCTGTACTGCCACATTCCTGGAAAGCAAAGCAGTAAGGTTACAGTTTAAGCATCTTCCTGATGGCAAGGATGCAGCACAGAAGATGCCTTTGGACACTCTCTGCCGGCACTCTCCCTCCACCACAGATCTGCAGGCTCCATGACTGGGGATCAGGGTCCAAAGTAGCTGCAGAACTGCAAGTATGTCCAGGAAAGTATCTGCTTAAATTTACATTTCTCATCCTTTGGAGGGTTTTCTCTCCTTTAAACAAGCCTTTACAATCTCATAGGGGCAGCAGGCCAAATTGTACAAAGCACGGTCCAGTTACCCAAAGAGGCTCTCAGTCTCAAGATTAAAATCCATGCAGAACCTGGGCAAGACAAGCCATGTCTAGACAGGCTGACCATGCAGAATGACCTGACGCAGCACTGCAACCAGGGAGCATCAACTGACCTAAAGCCAAGTGACATCAGGGTGGGAGAGAGAGTGCCTAGGAGGGACCAAGTGTTTCTGTAGCCGACCCAGCCCCTAGATTTTTGCCACTGGTGCACAATACAGTAGCGCCTATTTGAGCAATTGAGCATGATGTGTGACCCTGACCGTCCTTATAACGCTTCTTCTCTTCACCAGCAAAAGCTTCTTCTGGTGCACTAACAGCTAAACATACACACGTGTGCAAACCGACGCGCTCGGGTCTCTCAGTCTTTAAGACAAACAACAGAAGCAATTGG